AAAAAAAAAAAAAAAAAAAAAAAAAAAGCAAGGAAAGAAAGAAAGAAAAGGAGCTACTGTCGGGGAGAGGTGGAATCAGTTCTGTGACAAGTCACTTCCCTTGTCAGGTCTCAATTTCCCCATTCCTAGAAAAAGGAAGTTGGAGAGAAGAGGCGTGTTTCTAGTCGGCCTCTGAGTCATCCTGTGGGCCTGCTGAAATACAGATTGCCGGCCCCACCACAGAGACTCCACATTCTGGGCGGAGGCCCAAGAATCTGCATTCCTGGGGCTCCCCGGGGAGCCAAAGCCACCAGGTCTGGGACGAAGCTTGGCAGCCCTGAGTAAGGAGGCTGATAAGGGCGCGTCAGGGTCTCCAAGGTCCCCAAGGGCCCTGGCGGGGGCTTCTTCCGTCCCCCACACCTTGACAGTGAAGATCCTGAGAAGTCTCCTGGGTACCCGCAGTTAGCATCCTCAGCCCTCGCGCTCAGAAACACTGCCATCTGCTGGACGTGTCTGTGCAGAGCGGGGCCCAGAGCGCGGTATTTCAGGTCTACATGAAAGAGGACCAGTCCATGGGCCCTCCATTCCCGAGAAGCCAGGGACACAGCCCTGGTCATGTCTGGGCCATCTGAGCCTTTCAGAGGATTCCATTTCTTGTATGGATGTTGGTTCTGGTCTGCAAGCCTGGGGAATAACAACTTTTCATCAAACTCTTGCTATATTTTTCTTTAAAAAACCTGGTATGGGGGTTGGGGACTTAGCTCAGCAGCACAGCGCCCGCCTGGCAAGCGCAAGGTCGTGACTTCCATTCCTGGTACCAGAAAAAAACCAAAAACCCCACAAAACTCAAAAAAACAAAACCTGGTATTGAAACTAGATGTAGTGGCACATGCCTATAATCCCAGCTATTCAGGAAGCTGAGACAGGAGGATTGTGACTTCAAGCCCGGCCTGGGCAACTTAGTGAGAAACTGTTTTAAAATTAAAAATAGAAAGCGTTATATAAAAAATAATTTAGTCTTTTATAATTACAAGTTTATAATATATATACCTATTTACCACGTGCAACAGAGGTCTTGAAATATGTAAGTTATGGAAAAACTAAATGAGCTATTAACCTATGCATTGCCTCATGTACTTATCATATGGCTTCTGTGGTGAGAACTGTTTTTTCTGGTACCAGGGACTAAGGCCAGGGCCTCTGCATGGAGCTACACCCCCAGCCCAAGGAATAGGTTCAGTCCCCAGTACTGAAAAAAAAGTTTTCAGTGATGTTTAAGAACACATTAGAGTTGGGTGTGGTGGCGCCCTTCTGTAATTCCAGCACTCAGGAGGCTGAGGCAGGAGGATCGTTGCAAGTTCGAGACCAGCCTGGGCTACAAAGTGGCCAGGTCAAGGCTGGCCTGAACTTCATAGAGACCCTGTCTCTGTCTCAAAAAGACAGAAAAAAAAGAACACATGAGTTGTTGCTGGGCATGGTGGCCCATGCTGCTAGTCCTATGCTCAGGAGGCTGAGGCTGTGCTACCTACTGAGAATCTGTCTCAACAACAACAACAAAAGCATTAAAAAAAAATAAAACTTAGTTGTTAATCATAGTAGTCAATATGATGTACAACAGATCTCTTGCTGCTTCTGTCTAATTTGAATTTTGAGTCCTTTGATTAACATCTTTTCAACCCCCCCCCCAAGTTATTTGAACTCACCAAGCATAGATGTTGGTGGTGATATTTATATTGAAAAGGATTTGTTATCTTTACAAATATTTTACTGCAGGCTCTTCAGGTGGTTCCATAAGGCACTCTATTTTCTTTTTTTTTTTAGACAGGGGCTCAGTATGCAGTTCAGGCTGGCCTTGAGCTCACTTTGTAGCACAGGCTGGTCTTGAACTTGTGAAGATTCTCCTGCCTCAGCTTCCCAAGTGCTGGGATTACAGGCATACGCCATCACGCCGGTTTTTTTTTGTTTTGTTTTGTTTTGTTTGAGACAGAATCCCACTGTGTCCCCAGGCTGGCCTCAAAATCACAGCAATCCTCCTGCCTCAGCATCCTGAGTACTGTGGTTACAGGCATGCACCACCATGCCCAGTGTTTGTAGTTTTTGTTTTTCCTGAGACAGGCTTTTCCATGTTGCCCAGGCTGGTCTCAAATTCCTGGGCTCAAGCGCTCTCTCCAGCTCAGCCCCTTGAGCAGCTGGGAGAGCAGGTAGCAGGCCCAAGAGAGGTGTGCTGGTACACTTATCACTGGGGTCCAGACTCTGGGGAAGGAGCTCCACGCTAGCTCCTCTGGGGTAGGGCCGGAGTGTGGGCAGACTCTCTGGACCTAGACTGGACCCGTCACCAAATGGGGTCGAGGAGGTCCCTCAGAGAAGAGCCAAGGACTTCAACTCAGCCTGCTAAGTAGTTGCTTCATGCCTGTCACAGAAAACAATTTCAGGACCCGGCAGTGAGAGGCATAGAATAGTTTTATTAGGTAGAATTAAAGTGCACACTCAGAGAAAATAGAGGCAGGAAAGGGAGACAGACAGACAGACAGACAGACAGACATATGATCTGGACCTGGGAATGCTTCTGTGTGGAAACCTGTAAAATTTGTGA